AACTTGTAGCTAGTTAGTTTTGTTTTCCATATTACGGCTCTTTCTACACATTAGAATGGAGTTTCGTGGCCAGTTTTCAGTAACAGTATAAAACAAGAGGGAATTCTCAATAGCCGCGGCACTTGAAATTCTTTTAGGCAGGATTAGAGTAAATTAATCTGAGATATTGTTTTCCATTTTTATTAGCTATGTTTTTGTGCGCCAGCAATACTAAGCGTGGGGCGCGCGTATACCCGATTCGATTTTATTATTCATCAGGATCTCTACCAGCCTACCCCCAAATTGAATTTATTTTAGGCAGGATTAGAGTAAATTAATGTATGACACCTTGGGCGGGATCAAATACATCAATCGAAAGGGTTTGACCTCCTGAGTCCAAAATTGTAATTAGATCTCAAATCAGTCAAGAGATGATGGAGCTATGAACTAAAAGTTTGTACTTGAAAACAAAATTCGGACCCATTCTATGAGCCGCTAGCGGCTAAAAATAAAGTAACACAAAATATAAAGTTAGTTATGATTATGCTAAAGAAAAAAAGTAAGACTAGAGCAGATTGGAGTTAAATTTAAAAAATGACAATATTTTGTGTGGACATTTGACCGTGAATATATTTGAATTCTTGCTGTCGGTAAATGTCTGCCATTATTCTCATTTCAGTGAAGTAAGAAACAGTTCTATTTCAAAAGTATTACTGGAATTTTCAATAGGTTTGATTTGTGTAACATGGCCAGGTTGTTCGGGCGCTCGCCGCGCAATTTGCGGGTCGCGGGTTCGAATCCTTTCTCATCAAATATGCTCGCCCTTTCAGCCGTGAGGGCGTTATAATGTGACCATCAATCCCACTATTTGTTGATAAAAGAGTAACCCAAGAATTGGCCGTTGGTGGTGATGACTAGCTGCCTGCCCTCTAGTCTTTCACTACTAAGTTAGGGACGGCTAGCGCAGATAGCCCTCGTTTTGGTTTGCAACATTTTTTTCTCTCTTAAGTAAAGGTCAGAGGCCGCTGACCTTAAATGCCTGTTGAAGGAATGGCCCCAAGACGCATTTAAACCCGGAAACATCTCAGAACACATTCCAGGAACAAACCTAACCCTAAATCCTTTGTTATAAAAGATATACACACCAGTATAACAAACGAAGACATAGAAACCGAACTCACACATAAAAACATACTATTCACTAAAGTCGAACGGATTTTCTCCAAGAAAACAGAGATTCACAAGCCTTATCAAAATACACGTACAAGAAACACAAGATGTGCAGAGTGTAATATCAAATGGTATTATTCTCTGGTATCGAAGTTTTTCTCTATACTCCTTCTGACAATTCAGCTGCCCACCGCGTGATTTATAGTTCATTGCGAGTAGGATGTTTTAACTTCTTAAGCGGAAAGCCAAAACCTTCACAATTTTTCATAATAAAAATTAAACAGATTTAAAATGTTATAATAGTTTCAAGGTGTTACTTATCTAAAATATTTAGATATTTATGTGAATTTTTGTTTTTCGGTCCTTTGAAAGGTTTTAGGTTATTTTGTTACACTGAGTAATTCGTATACAACATTTATAATTCATAGTTGATACTTCTTTCTTCGAACATTTTCCCCACAGTACTTTTGCAAACGAGGCATAGTCTTAAAAATCAAAATTGCCTTATAATATGTTTTGATGTCAGAAGGTATAAAAAAAAACGTGATTATTAATTGAAATGTAATGATTATAATAGTAACAATCATTCAGGATTCAGGAATAACCAAATCTCCAGAATAATTTAATATTTTTTATAGGTCCTTCAAAAGTGTGTAATATGGATTTTATTATACATGACGCGAATGTTAATGGTAATTTTGTAAACATACCGTTTGAGATATGTGGAGAGTTTGATTGATTAAACGGAAAAATAAACTTAAAGTAGTATCATAGATATAGGTCTTTTGAGATCTTAAATGAGAGTTCGATCCATGAGGATCATATTTAAGGCGAATGGAAAAAAAAATTAATATAGTATCAGCATACTAGTGTTTATTTTGTAAGCCCATAATTGATAATTTGTAATTCTTATAACAGACTTGATTGATTATTATATTTTGTTTTATTTCTATCAGTATTTCCTTAGTTTCAGTTAACTGAAATGATTTATTCAACTGTATGTAAATCTTAAGAATTCCAACAAAATTAAATACAGGTTCTATTTGAACAATAATTTTAATCAGTGGTAACTGAACTAATGAAATTAGAGATGATTTTCATTTTAAAACGACACATTCTATTATTTACAATGTACTCGTATCCTATTTATATATTTGGATTAGGATTTAGGTCTACTCTATTTTGAGTTATTCAGCACAATACTAATTTTTATCGATACACGAGGATCAGTGTTTGTAACCATCAGCCCGATTACATACTCTTATCCCTATCCCTTTTCAAGACCATCTCCATGCATGTAATACTGTTGGCATTTACCGTATTGTCTTTACCATCTCTTTCTTTCGATTGTGCAACAGTCCTGCACATCGCAATCAGTTCCAATGATAGTCACACACTTATCACTAGAACAAATAACTATGAGTGCATTGTACACTCATAATTCTTTAAGCTAATGATATGATTACCTGCTTGTCATTGGCGGATTAAGGGTGACTCAGGCCCCGGCGGTGGCCCGACCATGGGCCTTCTAGTTGCATTGACATTCTGCAGAATATTTCATTGGTGGGCTAAGCGAAAGAACACTATTCACTCTTAATTAGGCTTACAAACAATTACATCCACTAAACAACTTATCAAAAGCATTATACATCTTCCTCTACTATGATATTAGAAAGACCGCAGTGACTTTTAACTTTTTGTCGGTAACCTATGCCCCCCCCCCCCTAATCCGGTCCTGCTATCAGTGATAGCTATAGGTAGCATTCCATTATACTTATGATAGATATTAGTTGTGTAAAGGAACTTAGGACTACTTTAATTATGTATAAATAGTAAAAAAAATAAAATTTTAACGGAAAGTAGGGATCGTTGGTTATTCGAATTGCTATAAGAAGTATACAAAACAAAATAAATGCTGCAATAAAAAGTACACAAACAAGTAAAGTGATACTAGCTGGATAGATTTTAAAACGATTTTCAATCCCTACTTTTAAAATATATCCAATTAGTATCACTTTACTTGTTTATGTAGTTATTATTGCAGGATTTATTTTGTTTTGGATACTTCTAATTGTAATTCTACAAATAACCAATGATCTCTACTTTCCGTTAATTTTTTTTTCTATTTATTTGTTCAGTTTTTATATATACCCATGGAATGGACACATCTATAAACTTTCAGTATAACCATATATATCCCTCATAGCTATAACTTTTACAAGAACTAAAACCGCAATCACACATTTATTAAATTTAATCCTTACTTTATAAATTTGTAATTGTGGTTT